TGAAGATAACCCATGTAGCAAACTCGTCATAGTTGCCAAAATGATGCCACCATCTGAGGGCCGGCTCTGCATTAATAAACTGTCCGTGCTGAATACCCAGTAACTTGGCCCTACGATTGTGTTCTCGACTGGGATAAGTGATGCTGGTGCTTCCAATATATACGTCCGACTGCGGGTTGACTGAGCGTGGAAGGTCCGGGCGGAGTTCGACTCGCTGCTTCCAGTACACTGCGTTGGGCTGCAAGAAGTGGGTGAAGGTGTACATGTTCGGGTGGATGCGTAAACGCCGGAGTCGGCGCCTGAGCTCCGTGAGTGCGTGCGTGGGGCGACCGTAGTGATGGACCATCAGCAGGGTGGACATTGACTCGGACCACATAGACAGTTGCTTGTTGACCATCGGCATGTTAAGGATTTGGCGACTCGTGACGATGATCAGATAGAGAACCTGATAATACTGGTGGGCTGCATGCACATCGAGGGAGTCCCCGAGTCTGATTGCAATAAGCGCGACGATGTAAGGAAGGAAATCATCGGTGCCATGCTGCAAGCTCACCGGCCAAGACGGCTCAGGAATACCATAGTGTCTGGATGCACTGTAAAGCTCCGACCGTGCATACTGGCTATATAGTTGCAAAAGAAAAACCGTTTCTGGAGATTGAATGACCGGCATGGCTTAGCCATGCATCCAACGCTCGAGCACTGAACGGTTGATTGGGTCAACAGGAAAAAACGGAAAACCGGAAAAAACCAGGAAAAAACCAACCCGCGACCCCGAGAACCTACAGGAAAACGAAAAGGGATAAAAGGCCGCTGATGGTCTCCGGGCAAGGTGCAGGCGTGAGGAGCAGCGGGCTTTTCATACCAGTCGTGTCGATGGTGCTAACTTCCTTCCTCGTGAGCGCTACCGTCACTCCCCTCACTTGCCATACATGTACATCACCGTGATGAACTGCAGGAGTGCTCGCTTCGATCCTTTGCTCACTAAAGAGATGGTGGCCCCCCACTTGACTGCAATGGCTTTCAACTGCTCCACTGTGTCAGATGCCAGCTCCTGCTTGATGAGATCAAGGTAGGTCGCTTGGTTGGACAGCGTGCGTTCGTGTAGCCATGCCTTGAAGACCTTGTCCGTGAGACTGGTGGGGAGTGGCACCTGTTGACCTTTGGGGTTCCCTTGACGTAGAAGGTCCGAGTCTAGAGTGACATCCGGGGGAGCCGCCGGGGTCTTTCGCTTTGCTGGTCGTCGCTAAGGGGCCGGATCAGCCTCTGGAGATGGAACTGGTAGGGGAGGTCCTGGCTGATCCGAGTTGGCCGCATTAATGTAGAGGGACTGGTCGGAGGTCGGAGCGGCCGGGCGTGGGGGCCCAGGACGCGGCATTGGAAGGGGACGAGGATGGAAGCTTCTTATCCGGTGTAAGAGTGATGCCTTTGCTCTTGTAGCGCTCCAGCTGTTGCTCCAATTCGGCAATTTTGTGGCGAGTGAGGTTCTCCTGCTTGGCGGGCTGCAAGGACTCCATGAGATCCACGATTTTGATTGCAAGTGGCTCCATAAACTGCATGGCCTCATTGCGCTTGTCCGGCGCATTGTCCACATGGAGAGAGCGAGCTGTCCTGTCAATGTCGACCTCCCTGCCTCTCAATGCTTTGAGAATGGATGTCAATAAGACTGCCTCGGCTATCGTCTGGGCCATGACTGGTGTGCTGTAGCGGCCATTTGACAGTGCTCGTAATGCGTGATCTTCTGCTCCTCCTCGAAGAAGTCGCGTGAGTGGAAGATCCAGGATAGCTGTTCCTGCGAGGCCGACTCTTCTGGACCACTGAGTGGGCTGAACGTGACGGTACAGCTGCAGACCACGGACCTCCGTCTTGTCTAAGAAGATGTCGTCAGATTGGAAGGTGCTGGGAAGTAGCTGCGAATATCGAGGCTGAGTGTATTGCGTTGCATCACCCTGGCCGAGAGGTGCCCGAACTGGAGGTTGAACTGGCGGTGCGGGTGGTGGAGGACGAGGACCTGTCTGCATGTGGCTTGTTCCACCACCGTGATAGTTGTAAAATTGACCAGGTGGTTGAGGAGGAAACTGATGAGCCATCTGTGGGGGCCAAGGGGGATTGACGCGGGACGGTGCTTCTTCGCGAAGTTGATGTTGCAATGGTTCCGTCCGATTGGAGCTGAGATATGCCTCCTGCTGGGACTGCGGAACTGACCATGACGGAAGATACGAGGGTCCCGGATGCGAAGAGGAAGAAGGTGCCGATGCCGCCGGCCATGAATAGCTCCACTGAGAAGCCATCACGAGATAGGAGGTTGCCGGCCACATTGCTAATGGGTTAAACGCTAGGGGTACGCCACACATTTCCGAGACAACAACCATTGCGAAAACGACACCCGAATTCCGACCAGGCCCGGGGCGGTGAGAGACCAGAAAACAGCATTAGTTACTTAAAGCTTCAAAAAAGGAAACCCTGCAATAAGGTCAGCACATACTCGGATGAGGCTCTGGCGTGCACTTTTTGTCGCAAAATATCGTCGGTAGTCGAAGACGGCAGTGTGGCGAAGTATGCTCTTATCCGCAATGAAACATCATTAATTGTCATTGGCTACAACAGCTCCTGGTGCAGGTTCACGAGCGGAGGACACCAGTGGGTGGCTTTGCATCGGTGGGCCATGCGAGTCCAACGATCTGGCTTGCCTTCGGGATCACCATCCAACACTTGCCCGACACATAGTGGATGACATCAGGACGTTCACTGGAGTCCAGGGCCTCAATGCAAGCTTGCTCTCCTCCCGATCGAATGGGCTGACAGGTGCCAACAGCGCGTCCGAACAGCAGCAATTGAGCCATGTTAAAAGACATGCTCCAGTTCTGGCTCATCGTGCGAGCGATTTCTTCAGCGTCGTAGTCGGCGTGTCCAGTGATCTTCCAGCCCTGGGCATAAAAGGCTGGGCACTCCGAGGAGTGCTGCCGGGAAGGATGGATCTGTCGGCTCCGCAGGATGCCGCGAGTACCTCCAACACTGGAAGCGTGAGTCCAGAGCAGCATGGGTCGCGTCTTCGTCGGTTCTTTGAGCCGGACTGTGGCCCCAAGATAAGGGACGGTCAGCATGAACCAGTGCGGGGTGATCTTATAAAAATGATGATCCGGGTTGACCTTCGCATAGTTCAGGGTGGAGTGCTGAGACGGTATGCCTGCTGCATTCAAGGTCGCGGCCACATAGCTCATCTGCTCCTGATTGACTGGGATCCCATCGCGAAGATATGGTGCGGCCAGCACCTGAAGTTCGTTCCTCCAGGGATCAGACTCCGGGTTGGGAAGCAAGACCAGCGGTGGATGTGCCTGCGGATTGGGGCGTAGCTGCATGCTCCTCGAGGACAACCCCGCATCCGGGTGAGCTCCTGCGGCCTTGGAGGCTGGAGCTGACGGGGCACTGCTTCTGCTACGCGGAAGGGGAGATCGATTGCTTCTCGGTCGTCGGGATGAAGCTTTAGTTGCCGTAGGTGCCCGGGATGAGGACTTGGCTGCTGTGGGTGCCGGCGCGGTAGCATTCGATGCTGCCGTCATGGTGTTGTCCGATGTTGAGTCCCTTCGGGAGATCGGAGGTGGTGTCCGGGAGCGAGCTCGGCCTCGCCGCTGCGGGGGCACTGACTTGGAGTAGGGGGAAGCGTTGTGGGAACGTGACCGGTCTCCCTCCGTCGTGTGGCGTGACCTGGATGGTGGGTTGGGCGGTGGAAGCATCTGACCTGATCGGGTTGCCGTAGGGATCGGTGCGATAGGGGTCGGTGCTGTGGGCATAGGTGGGCATGCTGTAGTTGAAACTGTCGGGGTAGTTGGCGTCATCGGAGTCATTGGTGTCATCGGTGTGGCCGGGCGTGCTTTCACCAGGATTTGCGGCAGTGGGCCAGCTACAGATGCAGGCCAGACCTCCAAGGTAGGGATCGATGCCGAGGCGTCACCGGGAGCAAGAGCCGGAACCGCTGCTTTGGCAGCCCTTGAGGCGTTGGACACCTCGCAAGATATGCAGAAGCTGGTGTCACAAGCGTACTCCTGCTTGGTGATGCTGACTGGTGCGCCGGAGGCCTGGGCGGCGTAGGGCCGGCAGTGTTCCTAGATGCCTTGGCCATGGGGCCTGCCGAGTTCGACATCGGACCTGCGTGGGGGCGAGACATCTATTGCCAACAATTGCGAGCCAAGAGCAAGCTGACGGCGTCGTGATTTTCCACCTGATGTGTCGGGTAGTCGGATTGGTTGTCAAACAGTTGGTCTGACTGAAACGGTTCACGGAAACAGTCTGGGGTGCCGGAAGGTCTGGGAGAGGTCCAAGCCTGCGTTGAGAAGATCAGCTGGAACAGTCAAGCGTCACGAGCGACAAGGTCCGGTAACAGTCTGTAGAAAATGTCTGTGCATGAGTCGGAACAGATGCCCCACAACAGGGATCAAGACACTGACCGAAGCCCGGACGCAGTGCCTAAACACACTTGATATGAGACGGCAAACTGCGAATGTGCACCCCGAAACGTAGGAGGACGCAAGCACGGAATCAGGTTGGAGTTTCGGCATGCTTATCCTGAAGCAATTTCGCTCGTGAGAGGCGTCCTCATCAGGGGTGCCATCGCCACTCTCGAGGTACTTTTGAATCAGCAATCCGCATGGTGGCACCCGACTCCAAAAAAGAGAAAAAGCACGACCGCGGAACCCCTTAGGAACAGGGGGGCCACACACACACACACACACCCATGCACGCGCGCAAGCACGCAAGCACGCAAGCACGCAAGCACATTCACATGCACGCCCGCACGCCTGCGCACAAACGCAAATGCAAAACACATTATCATATTTCATCTCTAACATTGCTCATCAGCCCACGGAAGCATTCCCTGCGCAAAGCGGTGGCTTCCACTGCTCGCACCCCAGCCAAAAGTGCTGTCAATTGCTGCTTTTCACGATGTTACAACGTGGAAGTCGAAAACATCCACCAGTAAGTATGTTCCCTTCATACCAAGCCACCGACACTTTCCCCGTCTTAGCTCTGGATGCCATTGCGGACCACGTACCCTCAGGCAACTCCTCAGAGAATCCAACATGCTCACTGACTGACTGACTCGCGCAAAAACTGGCTGCACACATCTCTTAAAATGGCGCCAGTTTTTTGGGGCCGCCCATAAAATGTTGATTACTCTTAAGCTGTTTGTCAACCAGGCTTTGCTGCACTTTCACATAGCCTGCCAACAGTTGCATGCCAACCACGCCAAAGCGAATAAGCAATGCTTAATGCTGCTCGGCAGCATTGGTACTCAGCTGGGGCAAGTCCTCCTCTACTCCGTGCCAGCCCTGCAACTCAAACACTGACTAGACTCCAGCTTCCTTGTCACAACTCGTTCTGGCTTTGATGGCTGACATGCTAGACTTGGATCAGCCCGCACCCCGCCTGCAGCACATCAATCCATTTGTTTTCTTCCGCACTGTTGCCATACGCCCGGGCATCACCAATATACCTTATGCGCCGCTGACTTTAGCCTGCGGGAAGCTAATTTTGCCTTGGGAAGGCCAATCTTATTCTGTGCGAAGGCAATCTTTATCTGTGGGACGGATGTTCGTGTTAGAATGCTGGAAGCAATTTTAGCCTGCAAATGTCTACAGCATGTTCAATCCAGCATCTAGGGAGCTATCGCTCGCCCAAAGAAAGCTAATTCCAGTTTAGAAGAACCATATGTTTGGCATTGGGAAGCCAATGCCAGAAATATTGAAGGAGTTGTCGGCCGCTCACCTATGGCAACTGAAGCATGCACAGGGAGCCTTCTACATGACACATCGAGCCGTCAAGGCAGAAAAATAAAGCATTGCGGGTCCCAGCCACCAAACCTTTGATTTGAGAGCTGCATTCAGAACATGTCCAAATGCCCGGCAAGCTGTGAGAAGCCAACAATGATTAACAAGTGCACGGATTGACTCCTCAACTCGCCAAAAACACAGAAAATAGCTGCGCACAGCTAGACGCGTGATCTCAAAGGCTACATTAATTGTCTCGCTGACGGACCAAGGAACCGTTGGCACTCCTCCATTGCAGCCTCCCGTTCAACCTCCAGGGCCTGAAAGCAAGGCCATGCGTGCAGATGGAATTGGCACAGTGCGCCTGCAGCGCCGCTTGGTCCTCCAAGAGTCGACCAAACTCTACAGGTGCTGGTGCGGCCGTTTTGGCCTGGCACGCCAAAAGTGCTCCGAACTGGCAAATGCCAAATGGATACCCCGTCCACATCCGAGGCAGCATTGGGGCGGTGGTGGAGATTAGTTAGAAGGCTTGTTCAAAGCGTCTCTTGTCGTTCATGTTCTGCTGGTGCTGGCTACGTTGGTGAGGTGCTTAGCTATGTCCCCGCTTAAGCATCCTTTACACGAAAAGAAATCAAGCAATGTGGTCTACCTCGTAAACGAGAAGTTGTTGAAATGTAACACTTGTGCACAGGTGGCTGAGCTCGCAATAGGACCACATTGTCTATGTGTGGGTCCTCATATCTCTTGCACCTATGTCGAAGGGTCCAAGAGTCCAAGAGCTGAAGGTCAAAATTGTCAGCAAAGCAGAAGCAGGGGCAATGCAAAGTAATTCAAGGCAGGAATGCGTGCAAAAAGCTCCCCGCCCCGTCAAAGTGCAAACGTCAGGGGGCCTTGCTCCGCTTCTGCAGCTTGTGGCGCTGCTTCTGTAGCTCCTCACATCACTCACTCCAACCCGTCCATTGCAAGAGCGTGCATGGGTGTCGTCTTGCATTCTGAAAGACACCTAAATGTGTATGCGATGACCCATCTGCAACATGGATGAAATCGTGGCGACCATGTCACAAGGCTTACGTAGTTTTAGTGTGGAAAAATACCAAGACACCCATTCCAGTAAGCCTCTGCAAGCCGATCGTACCAACAGACCCGCATCTCTCGTGCTTGCTTCTGACACGTGTAAACACCCCTTTATCGCTGACAGCGTGGCTCCAAATCGCGAATGGCGCTATCTCGTTGCTTTTTGGCAGCCCCCAGTGCCCGCCTCCTGAAAAAGAGCCTGGCGCCTGGCTGCTTCTGCCAAAGCTGCTTGGCGCTCCGCATCCGAGCTAAAAACCTGGAGGCAAAGCGGTGCGGTACGACTTCCGGGTCGCTCCCGAGACAAAGAAGGAAGGAAAAGGCTCAAAAAGGCAGAGAAAGGCGGAGACAGGCATGCATGCAACACCTACTTTAATTTAATTTGCGCGAAAAGACTTTGCTGACGCCTAGTACAAACCAACCCGCGGCGTGTAGGGTCTGAGCATTAGCTCGGCCTGCATGAGTACTACACGCTTTGGCAGAAAGGCCTCCTCGGCGGTCAGCAGTTGCAAGGGGGACACACCAAATCTAGGAAAATCAGGTTCAACGGAAACTTTTTCGGCAACATAAGAACACATTCACCATGAGCTTCAGTTGCTCTGTGCGCGTAAAAGCTCCGGCTGCGACTCTTAGCCGCGAGCACGGCCAACCAACTAGCCAGCATCAGCAGGCCCAGAATCAATCATAAGTATGCAATGCTGCGCGTAGCCAAATGGAAAGAAAAAGAATGCGAAGCGCCGAATTAGAGGCCTATTCTTGCTGGAGGGCGGGAGCGTGCGTCGTATGAAGCTGCTTACTCTCACATGTCCAACTGTGCTCTTCGTGCACCTCCAGGCTTTTGGGGAATCACGCGAGCATCGGGAAGCATAGATCAGCTGTCAGCTTGGCACAGTCATGCTTCTCTGACCGTCATGTCATGCCAACACAGATATCCTCCCACCCACCACCCTTCCTTACAACTACTTCGTCAATACACAGAAACTTCTGTAAACCTCGCACTTTTGCCTTGGCTGTCTTGGTCTCCGTAGCTGCGTGGAGGGCGGCCAGCGCCTCCTGCACAACGCCCAGTGCAAGATGTGAGTGTAGAAATGGTGGCTTTCCTCTTGGTTCCCTTGAAAAATCCATCCAAGAAAGGTACCCTCAAAAAGCGACACGCCAATATGTGCCACGGGCTTCCAGCCAATACGTTATGGGCAAGTTCAATGTCTCCTCGCTCATGCCCTCCAAGTTTACAGCGAACTGCTTCCAGGCTTCTTCCAAGGCATTGCATGCCTGAAGCCAATTCATAAAAGACATGATCATTCACATCCGGACCTCCTGACAAAGATATTGTTCATTACTTTGCCCGTGCCAAGTTACTCCCACGCAATCGTTGTCTCCGACTGCTGGTTCACCTTTCCACTCCTGCAACTTCGACATCTCCTGCACCACCTGGAGGAGCTAAGAAAAGCCCCATCTTCCGTCAGAGAAGTCATGAACCGAAGATGCTGCTTGTCCCTTGGCTTAGCCAGTCAGTTGGCCCGCATCGCAGGCAAGGGAGATGAAGCCTGGGGAATGACCCCTCTGACAGAAGAATCCTTTCTCCCTTAACATGTCTATGAGACTGACAGCAAGTTTGGACAGCATACAGCCTGCCATACAACGAACAACAATTCGCCTTAGGACCTGACAACTGGGGTACTGGGTATGGGGTCTGACTCTCCATCAAGTCTGGTCATTTCTGCAGCTCACGTTTCTGTCCTAACCTTTGCATTCTGTGGCTTGTATTTGATGTAGGACCGGACTTCTTGGTTTTCTTCATGACTTTACTCTTCCTTCGCCCGCTTATACTGCACTTCTACTGGGGCATGAGCTACGATTCACTCACGATGAAAAATCTGACACCATGCTGGACTCATAATACTGTTGATTTCTGAGAGCGTTACACACAGAAGAGATTGAATGGAGGGCAAGCAGGTGTGCCTTCTGCTGCATGTCTGCCAGCTCCTGCTTCTGCTCTATCAAGTCAGCAGCATCTAGAATGGACCTCGGTCGCTTTAACAATTGCCCAAGAGCAAAAAATACTTTGCCCGAAGCATCTGCATCTCACACCCAGCGGCTTGTCTCCCTTTCGCCGAGCCTTGAGCTTCAGCCTAGCGCGAGCAGCCACTCCCCTGCCCAAAGCAAATCAACACTTAGCCCTAAAAATGCTAGGGAAACCCGAGGGCGAACAAACAAGCAGGCTAGAATGGTCTGGAGCCCAAACGCCTCTGGCTGTCCAGCTCTTCCTGGAAGGCGCTGGCACGGCGAGCTGCCTCCGCCAGCATGGCCTGCCATAGCCAGGGGATCCAATTACTCGCTTCAACTATGAAAGCTTAATTCAAGCCCATGGTGGATTGAACCATATAGGTGTGGCTCAAAATTAAACAGGAGGGGTTACGCAGGTTTTGGTCCATGTTTCCACTTACCAGGGTTGATTTTGGTACCGCTTTTTTGAGCCACCGCCATATATTGAACCCCAGGCCCCAGCTTGGGATTTTCTCGTCCCGCCTCGCGATTGCCCTCTTCATCACGCTTGACACGGGAAAGAAGGCCCTTCAGCGGATCTGGCGCTGAGGTCTCCTACGCAAGCTTCCGAAAAAGTGCAATGCTGCTACCTGTTCATTCCGCGCACCACGTGCTTCCTGCAAAAGACATCGCCCAGCCTCAGCAGCATTTTGAAGAGAGGCGGCGCGATTCACCACCTCCTCCATGCTCTTGGCCAGGCGCAGCCTGGGAAACATCGGGATGGAGAGGCGTGGAGAGGTCCATGGTATGCATCGATACGGATGCACACTGAGGAACAGCCAACGCAAGCTCTTCGTTTCATGAGGGTGCATGTTGAAGTTTCAAAGGAAAAGCATGGGGGGGCTCATTTCGGGGCATTCCGGCCTGGCCTGTCCTCCTGGCGACTTTGCCAGCTCTCCGCCTCTTGCCGCACATTCATCGGGAGATTCATGGCCGCGCCACCGGAGAGGAGCCGGCCAGCCTACAGAACTCAGCTCCGGCATCCGGCTGGGTCCGGAGCCCACACTTTTTTGCAATAGCGCGGGTCACACCATCGGCCTGGTCCAGCCAGGATTGCTTCTCCTTCGGCAAACAGAAAGTTACTTACCACCGAATTCAAGCCATGCGGGAGCCACCTCCAAAGATGTGTCTTCTGCAGTTGCCTTGGAAATGGCATCTGCCAGCCTCAGTTTGCACCAAGAAGCGCCAAATCATTGGTGCCAAACCCCAGTCCACTCGTCCACCTTTTGCTTCACAGGCACATGGTCAACGCGGCTGCCCGAGATGCTGGGGTGGTACCCACCGGTGTGCCAACTGCGATCTCCTGGGCAATGGTCACCAAGCCACAGAAAATCAACACCGGGTGCAACCAGCCATGGCCAGTGCCTTTTCTGACCAAAGCTTGCGTTGTGCAGTGCAGGTGTTCTGAACGGCTGAGGAAGCTGCATTCCAGTTGCTTGCTTTGCCTCAGACCCGGCTCAAAGGCAACGCGGAAAGCGTGTTTAAGTGTGCGATTGCTGTTTTGTGAGGCGCACGAACGTGCTGGAACCCTGGCCGAGCAACTCAAGCTAGCCATCATCGGCGATCCCTCGCACGGCGCGTTCTTAGCATTCTGGGGCGAAAATGCCACCCGGCGGGCCACAGCCTCCAAGACGTGTCGAACAAAACTACCAAGGAACGCAAACAAACCCCCAAGCCTCTTCAGGAAGAAAAACGCCAGGATCAGGTGCCACACGAGCAGTGGCAGCAGACCCGTGCTTGCCTAAGTTCTAGGCCATGCCAAGTCGACGGTGCCACTTCCCATTTTGATCATGCGCATGGGGCCATCTTGAGACACCCGTAACCGCGGAATATGAGAACCGACCGCAAGTGGAAGCCAAGGTGCCCATCACTGGCATACACGTTCCTTGCCACTCACACTTCTTGCCAGACGCCGCACGTTTCAACGCTTCCTGCTCCTGGCATATGGGACGGTCCAGCAACAAGCCTTCCACAACTGAAGATGGTGACCAGTAGAGTCGAATTTCGCGCCTGCCTGTCCCAACAAGGAAGCTCTTTGATCTAAGGCATGGGAAAAAGTGCAATGCCTCACACTTGTTTTGCCCAATGCAATGGCAGGCAGCGAAAACACATCCCAAACTTGGGTCCTCTTCCGCCCGGGTCTTTCTGCGACAGCAAAGAGGAAGGCAGCATTTCTGCCTCAAAAGCTAAAGATATGTTGATTTGCAGGCAATGATAGCTTGTCCAAACAAGCAGGAAGCCTCTGCCAGCTTTGATGCTTTCCCTCACACAGCAAGCAAGTCGTGCTTTGGCATTACCTCGCTCCTCCAATCATGGAAGCTGACAGTAGGATTTTGGAGCACTACTTTCTTCTTGGGAAAGCTCCCTGTCCACTTCAATTGATTGGGGGAGAGAGGGCGTTCTCCTGCGCCACCGGCTCCACCCTGACACCGACCCTTGACAAGGGAACCAGGTCACCCTGACAGAATGCATGGTCCTGGGTGGGTTGCATGGGACAGCGGAAGCTGGACGGCTGACAGCAAGCCACTCAAACAATGTGCAGCACGACGGTCCCAAAACGCCCCGACAACCTGACGATGCCTCGGGACGCGCTCCGACGGCCCGACGTGCCGAAGCCCCCACACCTCAAACCCCTCACCCTGACGCCCCGACACCTGCCAAGATGCTTGTTGTATAGAGATGCAAGCACTGCTCCAGTCATAGCGCTTGCCCCCATAGCCACGAACAGAAAGGCAGCGGGGAAATTGCCTGCCGACAAGCGACACAAGCATCATGCATAGCGAGAATGGGACTTGTTGCGACTTGCGTATCCGGCCAGACCTACACTCTGTGAAACTTTGACATGTTTAGACAAGCGTTTGCCAAAAACAACACGTCACCTACGTGCAATTGCAAGGCATGTCGAATGCCATGAAGGTCAACCAAAAAGGAGGTGTCAAACAGTCAACGAGGCAAGCGCCCAAGACATGCGACCTGATAGAATGAAAGCCAACATAGCCAAGGGCAAAAGTTCCATGCCGGTCAGGCATGGGTGTCAAGACTGTAAACTGTTTATAGGAAATCGTTTGGATGATGACATCCCCTCCCGCCTGACGGCATTTCGAGGCCAGCAAAGGCGGGCTGGGCAGCGATCGGGGCAGAGGACGTGCACATCGCATCATGCAATCGCCAATCCTCAGGCGGTGCTCAGCTTCCAAGAATTCTGTGGCCTCGAGCGAGCCCAGGCCCTTTGACCAACCAAGCTGCTGCGCAGTGTCGCAGTGGGTAAAACGGTGCCTCAGGTCGATTCTATCATTCAGTCGCATCTTGAAGCGCCAACGCATGCCACGCCCCAGCCACAGTGCCCTCTCACATCCCGCGTCAGCCATATGACAGCCAAGCATCCGCTGAGGGATCAGCCTGGCACCACGACTCAACAGCCTCTGTGCAGGACAAAAAGTCGATCTCGGAGTCCGTATCGTTGGTAGAGTTGTCCTGCCACTGCCATAATCTATCTCTTGGAAACCGTGAATGATGGAGTGAGAGATGGCAGGTCCCAAAGGTAAGAAATGGACCTGAGATCCCATCTCTCCATGCCATTCCTTTCCCAAGCCATACAACACACACAAAGGCTTGGGATCAGAAAGGAATGTCACTTCGCTCACTCGCTGCCTCGCTCCTCAGATACCGCTCCCAACTGACTCACGGTGAGCGGATTTCCCTTCCCTGTCAAGCATTGGGGAAGGGTGAGGAGAGAGATAGAGTGAGAAGCCTTTCTTTTTACGTCTCTTTGAGGCTTCTCTGTACCCTATCTCCTCTCCATTGCCACCGTCGGTGACGGGAAAGTGAATGGAGAGAAGGGAGATAGGTGAAGACTGGCCTGTTGGCGACATAGAGAGGCAATGTGAGGCCAGGCGGTTACATCCTTCTCTCCCGTCTGTTCCCATTCATCTCTTGGTCTTTTCCTTCCTCCGTCCCTTGTCCTGTCTATCATTCATTCATCTCTTTTCCCCGTCCTATCACCTGTCATCCCTCTCTCCTCTCGGTCTTTGAAGGTGTGGACGGGTTAAGAGATGGCCCAGCCTCATTTCACCGGCTGGAGAGTCTTTATGTCGCGGCTCTTTTCTCTTTCATGTTGCCGCGGTGAGATGAGGGAGGTGACAGAAGAAACCAAATGACATCACCTCCCATCTCTCTCTTCTTTGCGAGCCTTTATGTCAGAGATTTTACGCTCGCAAACACACAGAAGAGAGAGGAAATAGAAAGGGCAAGTTTCAACAAATTAGCTATTTATAGCATGCGGGTATCTTATCGCTCGCACACGGAAAGGGTCCTCATCGTCGTATTCCGGCTCAGTGCTGGTAGTTGATTCACCCTGTGCGCAAGTCTCATGGCACACCCTGCGCCACGCGGGCCACATGGATACGTGCATGATGGCCCCAACGACCCAGCGACCAAGCCTGAGTTAAGGTGGTGCTGGGTGCTGTGCCCGTCAGGTGTCGTGTCGTGTACTTCCGCTGCGGCTCGGGAGTGGTACTCTCCTTGCGACAGGGGCAAACTGCGTGACGTCGTCTTTGTGCGGGGGGAAAGGGGGGAAAGGATCTCAACCAGGAAAGGTGGAAAAGATCTTAGCGAGGAAAAGGCAGAAGGTCTCAGGGGGGGGGGAGGCCTTAGGGGTAAAGGGGGGAAAGGATCTCAACAGGAAAAGGTGGCAAAAGAAGGGGGGAAAGGATCTCAACAGGGAAAGGGGGGGAAAGATCTTATGGAGGAAAAGGGAGAAGATCTGGCGGGGGAAAGGCCTTAGGCGGGAAAGCGGGGAAAGGATCTCAACCGGGAAAGAGGGGAAAGATCTTAGGGAGGAAAAGGGAGAAGATCTCAGGGGGGAAAGGCAGGGAAAGGGAGAAAAATGAAAGGGAGGAAAAGGGAGAAGATCTCGGGGGGAAAAGGCCTTAGGGGGAAAGGGGGGGATCTCAACCGGAAAGGGGGGGGGGGGGGGAAATCTTGGGGAGAAAAAGCGAGAAGATCTCAGGGGGGGAAAGGCCTCAGGGGGGGAAAGGCCGAGAAGATCTCAGGGGGGGAAAAGGGGGGAAGGGGGGAAAGGATCAGGGAAAGGGGGGAAACGATCTAGGGAGGAAAAGGGAGAAGATCTCAGGGGGGGGGGAAGGCCTTAGGGGGGAAAGGGGGAAAGGATCTCAACAGCGAAAGGGGGGCAAAGATCTTAGAGGGAAAGGGGGGCAAGGGGACAATTCCGAAGGGAAGCAAATAAGAAAGCAGGCCTGTAATGTCGGCGGCCTGAGCCGGAGGCCTTAAAATCAAGTTATGACCCGTGGGACCGATGTTGATAACAGGTCGCGATTGGGCAGCGAGACAGCGATGTGCCATCGGCATGGCATTCCAAGCTTGGAACCATCGTAAATTGAATGCCGACGCATTGCAACAAAGACACAAAGGAGACCACCCTTGCATCTGCAACACCCATGGGGGATCATCAAATGCTGACGCCGCAGTAACCGTGTCCGTTGCTCGGGATGCGTGTTTTTCTGCCCACCCAAGCTCCCAAATGAATAATCTGGTCCATGTCGCCTTCTTGGCTGTGCTGGATGACGTGGCCTCTGGAGCCAAATTCAGGCACAAACGCACGGACACACAAAAACACAGACGCACACACAGGCATGCAAAAGCACACGAAAATACGACGGGGGAGCCTCTCGCGAGATCAAGCACACATTTGACATATTGGAGCTGAGCAACTGTCGAGGTAGACTCTGTTGTGCTGGTCGCGCTCAGTGCAGATACTTTAGTAACTGTCAAGGTTGCCGTTGCGGTGCCGTTGGCAGACGCAGAGGTGGAGGTAGTTGCCTCTGTGCTGCCCAGAGTTGACGTACCTGTCTGGGAAGCTGTCGCTGTGCTGGTGCCAGAAAGGGTTCTCGTGAGTGTGCTTGTGCCAGTTTGAGTGGTTGTCGCGGTGCTAGATTGGGTTGCTGTTGCAGTGCTCGTTCCAGTTTGGGAGGTCGTCATGGTGATGATTTGTGAAAGTGTGCTGGTGCCAGTCTGGGCTGCTGTCAGCGTCGCGGTCCCCGTTTGTGTAGTTGACCGTGTGCTGGTCTGCGTTGTTGCAGTCCAGGTTGTTGCCGTTCGCGTTGATGTAATCCCAGACCATGTTGCCGTGCTGCTGGTGGCAGTCACTGTCACGGTCGTCTTAGTCGTTGTCAGGGTGGAACTGCTTGTGACGGTGTCAGTAGCTGACGAGGTCAGCGTTGAGCTGACTGTGGAGCTAGCTGTGCTTGTACCGGTATCAGCTGATGTGATGGAGGTCTCGGTGCTTGTTGCTGTCACTGTGGTTTGGGTGGTTGTTGCCGTTGTGGCCGTCTGGGTTGCAGTCACTGTGGTTTCCGTAGCTGTCAGTGTCGCTGATGTCCGGGTGCTCGTTGCACTTGTAGAGGTTCCAGTAGCAGTGGCAAAGGTGGCCGTAATGGTTGAAGTGACGGAAGATAGGGTCAATGTTGCAGTGTCCTGGGATGCTGGCTAGTGTCAGGTGACAAACTATGAGAGTAGCCAATCCCTGGAACCCTTCGCTAAAAACAACATGTCTTCTCCAAAAAGCAGGCGCGCACAGGTGCGGGCATGAGTCCGTCGCAGAGGAAGTGGAAGTTGTAGCGATGGAGGTTGCAACGGTCTCACCTGCATGTCAGAAAGCACCAGCGTCATGCCATGCCTCCGCTGCTACACGTTGACAACACCTCAAACTGAGTCAAGGCGCTTGTGGCCGTGGTTGAAACGGTCTCGTTCCTGATCGTGACTGGCAGTCTGGTTTGGACACTCAGGCAGTGGCCTGCTGCACTGCGTGCACCCAACACATGCCTCATGCCCCTTTCCAAATGAGCCACTTCCATTCAGGCATAGTTATGTTGATCTCAGTCTTGTTGGACCCCGCTGCAAAAGAGTTGTAGAGCTCTCCCAAGGGCGAGAGAGTGCCATTCGGAAATACGATGCCAGCATCTCCGTTCCTGATTTCAATTCCCAAAAATGACTGGCCGCCCTGGCACTGCGCACATTGACCTTCGCCTGTGGTGGCCAAGCAACCATTATGCCACACTCTTGACTGATTCCCTCCAACAGACCGCAGCAACATGCAGCAATTTGCATGCAGGCCACTCGCCATTAACCTGAGCACTGGCGATGTCCGGTCCCCGGATGCAGCCATATAGGTGAGTCATATGTCATGTCAGCCCTGTTGCATCCAACGGCTGTGCAAATGATTCCAGGCGGCAATGGGGTGGGCCCACTCGTCCTTGAAGTAACTGAACCAAGCATACCTTGCTGCTGGCAGCGCGTGCAAAATAGCAACTTGCTAATCGTGAGCAGCGCGCATCTCAACGTCATCATCCGCTTCAAGAAGTGGAATGGCCTGCTGCCGGGACATGCCGAAGCAAGCAGACCGCCAGCAGCATGATGGCAAGTGCCCAGAACGGCAACTGCATTACAGTGTCGAAAAGAAGATGCTCGCAACTGTGGTGGCACTGGGCCTTTGGGTCTGACAAAGGAATTTCTCAACTGCGAATGCAATGTATCAATGGACCAAGCACACAAAAACAACCTGGCGGGCGGCATATCTTTTTGCTGCGCCAACGCCCTACTGAGCAGCACCCTCCACCAGCACCCTGCGCAAAAGCACCCCATGCAACCACACCCTGCATAACAGCACCCTGCTAAACCAGTCGCACTTTGCGAACCCAGCAGGGGCGTGCAAAATCACACTGCAGCCCCTTCCAGCAGCATCCCACGCAGCAGCACCCTGCGCAGCAGCATCACCAAGCAGCACCAAGCAGCACCAAGCAGCAGCGCTCTGCAACACCCTACTGCGCTGGCCCAGCACCACCCTCAAACGCACCCTGCGCAAGGGAACAAACATCTATCATGTTCTTGTGAGCCCGCCTCCTTCATATATGCCATCTGGCCCTGGCGATCTGAGGACAAGTGCACAGGCCCGTTTCTCACAAGGTACTACATCTATTTCTCCGCTTTGAAGCACCGGGACCCCCGTGAGGAATGCAGCGTGCCTCTGCTGACAAACGCTCGGGTGATGCAGGGTCTGAGCAAGCAATCTCTGTGACCCACAAAGGTTTTCCTCAGCTTCTGCTCACGGCCCATGGAGCGAACCATGATGCAAACAACTAGAATCTGAGTAGTTGTTGTGATGTCAAAAGCATAGAAATCGCTGCCAAGGACCAAACACCCGGTATCGGTCCAGGTGATATTTCAAACCGGCCGCATAGCAGCTGAAAACGTGCAAGGCAACCGCATCCACCTCAAACACTTGCCAAGAGCTCATGTCACATCTCACTCCCGCCCAAGCAGCGCAGCCAAAGCATCAATGAGCCAGCCAATTGTGCGTGGCCCAGCCTTGCAACCCTCGCAAATCGCAAAGAACTGGTACAGCCAGTCAATTGGGTCCTTGCTGTGCAAACATGCCGACCCTAACAAGGTCACCAGCTCCATGTAGCCTTCTGGGCTCCACTACCTTCTTGCCGTGCGGCGAAGGACCAATGATAATTCAAAGCAGGAGAAACCTCGTGTTCACGTACCAGTCTCGTAGCTCTAACGTCAGCACCCCGCGTTTCCAGGCACTTATGGCACTTCCTTTAGTGTAAGATCGCCGCAATGTAAGAGATGTTGTTCGCAGCTGCCAGCTTCTCCACATCCGGCCAGTGCTGCGCAGCCTCAAAAAGCACCCCTCAGGTGCCCGTGCCATGGGCCAACCGTCGGCTCATCCTGAGCCCTGCTGCCCAGTACGGGTCCAGGTTTGCCCTCAGCCAAACGCCATGCCACGCCATGCCACGCCCAGCAGCACAGCACAGGTTCTGAGTTTTGGGGGCATCCAGGGCCGGTGCTGGTCAGGAAAGTTGGGCTCGTTGAAGCCCAGAAGCGCCTTGCTGCCTTTGGGGAGCCCATCTGCCTGCATGAATCAAACCACGCCATGGGGCATTGAAGAGTACAGGCTGCCAGGGCAAAGGAGTAGCGGCAGTTTCAAATGCCGAACTGCGGCAATATCCACTGGCCTCTGCAAGGGGGATGGTGCCTCAGCTGGGGAGACGGAATGAGACGGAGTAAGGATGAAGGATGAAGGAGGATGGCTGAACCTTCGCCTTCAACCTCAACCCCGTTTGAGGCGCTTGCCATGACCCCAGACCATGGGAATGAAGTCCACCCCGGCCATCTCCCAAACGGACAGGTCCGGCCCATCTGCGCACGATTCGTGCTCAGAAAAAAAAGAGGAAGAAAACAAAAACAAAAACATATTAAATGGGCGCAAATTGGCTTGACATCAGCTGGGTGCTCGCTTGCTGTCCCAGCTCACGCCGCCAGCGGCCACAAACAATTGACGGTAGTCCTATTCTTTCGGGATGGGACCTGTCGTGAGGGAGATCAGCAGAAGCCATCTTGCCTGTGATCTTGTAGCCCCAGGTGGCACCCCACGAGATAGTCTTCCCAAGCGTCGAAAGCGACTCCTACGGTTGAAAGGCAGGCCTTCGAGAACTACCTTCATCTCAAAGGCACATGTCAAAGTGCTGAAGCACTTCATCTCAATCGGCAGTCCGCTGTGAGTAGGCTGCTCTCAATGGCAATCCCACGCCTCAGGGTCACAATTATCCGACACGGGGCTGGGTGGAAGTTGAAGCACGGCTTCTGATCCTAGGTAACATGCGATGGCAGTTGTACTAGGGCTTCCTCATTGCAGGTAGGCTTGCTAGACCTGGAGAACCATCGTCAGCAAGTTTAGCTGGTACTGAGCAGCAGGCTTGGAAGACCTATCTGTCTCGCCATCTTGCCGGTACTTCTCCCATGGCCAACAGTCTGCGCATTCGTCGTTCTCCAACGCCGTCTGGCAGACCAATGGGACTCACACGAAGCAGTTTGACGTTGAGGCAGATGCCAGGCCTGGACGCGCGCCTCCTGCTCGGTCAGGAGTCCGCCTTGAGGAGACTGGAGGTAGACGATCCTCGGGACACGCTCTTATGAACTGGACGACTCAGTCTTCCCTGCAAAGTGGAAAGTAACGTTCAAGTGGACAGCATTCTGAGCCTCACAGGTTTGCCAAGAAACCGCTCGCCGCAGGTGAAGGCTTCTCTTTCAATACCAAACTCCCCTTCTTCGAACCACACCTGCCCATGAAAAGACAGCGTGCTTGCGGCATGTCTCGTGGGACAGCGCTGGTTCCGACTCCAAACCGCCGGCATCCCCCGGCAAACGGGCAGACCTCCTCGCAGCTGCCCGCCACGGAGCGGACGCTGAGGACCTGAGGCCCCAAGGCTCGGCTCACGCTTCAGCTACGTCTGAGTGCCCTGCCAGAGCCGCAGCTGCGACTCGTAACCTGCGAAATGCGCACGGGCCACGGCTCTGCACAGAACGACACATCCAACCACCCGCTCCAGTCCCTGCCTTGACATCTGCCACCGCGCACAGGTCACCAAACTAGCCAGGCGCGGCAGGAAGAAAGCCCTCAGATCACGACGCCCAAAGGCAATCCCGACAGGCCCATGCGCTTGCAACTGTATACGCCACCCAACGTCCTGCAATCGACAAAGTCGCCTGCTGAGCTCAAGGCTTGGTTGCAGCGAGGCTGGTGCTCGCTCCCCCAAGCACAAGAACCGACCCGATACTCACTTCTACTATTCTAGGCAGTACTTTTCGGGCAGGAAGCACGGAATGCACGGAAGCCGCCTTCCCACGACATGCGTTTAAGCAGCTCACACGATTGGTCTGGCCGCCGTTTTGAACACGTGAATCATGCTGTACAGCAAAGGTCTAAAGGTCGATTCAACTTGCAGGTGGCCAACTAAGTTAAGCAGCTGCAATCCTGCTGTACGTTGCCGAATCCATTGTGGGATTGTGATGGCCGGAGGCTTCACTTATCTTGGTGGAAAGTCGAATTCCCCAAGGCGGCTGCACACTTTGACCAGCCACTCAGGCGAGTGTTCATAGTCCTTCCAGAACCTTGGTACCAGGTTACCAGCTCAGGCCGTGAAGGCATGAGATGAACACGGATGCACCGAGAGGCTTGATGAACCAATGCACTCGGCCATGGTCAATGCTTGGTAGGACGTGTTCGTCTGGTGGCTTTTTTCCTCTGGCCTGCCAGGGGCAGCGGCAAACGCATCCAACATCATCCAACCAATTGAAAGCATGTCATGGCATCCACAGGGCGATTCCGATGAAGCTGCATGAGTTGCATCAATGCAAACACGACAAGCAACTGGAACAGAACAAACCCACATGCCTCTAGAAGATCGCAAACCTTTTCCAAGCACTTGCGCCAATCCTCTGCCGTTGACTCGTTACGACAAAGATTGACTGCATTCTCCTTGGTGATTCGAGTCTCGTCCGGATCGCACATCCCGGCTTTTTCCGTCGGGAAAATATACCATGCCCAGCAGGAGTTTTTGCGACCTGCATCCAGCTCGGAAAGTATTGTCTTCATGTTGATCTCCTGGTTCTGAACAAGAGCATTGTAGGCTTTCCTGAAACTCGTCAAAAGCTTGTCCGCTGGGAATATTCATCTCGCATGAAAAGGTTTGCGCGTATGCTAAAAAACACGACCGTGTGATGTGCGCGCGCAGGTGTGCAGGCGTCTGTGCACACGGGCGTGCGCGCGGACTGGGATATGCCTAGCATGGGTGCACGCACGCGCAAGTGTGCGGGCATGCGCACCGGTGCACGCGCGGGTGCATGTGCCGGTGCAGGTGCGGCTGTGCATTCGTGTGTGCGGGGCGCAGGCAGACCGCATATACGTTTGTTTTTCACTTGAAAGGTCTCTATGTCGGGACGTATGGACAGGTGCGCATGCATACGGACGCGCATGACTTCCTCACGCAAACACGTCCATCTCACCCATGCACATGTCCGCGCACCCGTCCGTTCGAGCGCACATGAGCACAAAAAAGGCAAGTTGAATCAGGCGTCTGATCGTTCATCTCACTCTTGCTCCGGGCCACTGTGCGCAAGGAACCCTCTGAAAGCGCCGGTGCCAACCGCGGCCGCTCCATGCGGATGCGCACAATCAGCTTTAGCAATGGCCACTCATTGAATTGATTTGGCTCATGCCCATGGAGATGCTGCAGCTGTCGCTAAAGATTGTGAATGGGATGTAATTGTTGCACTGCTCATCCAGGCAGCGGCAAGTCGCAGTTCCCTTCACATCGCTTCAAACTCCTTCACCGTTCATTGCATGTGTAGCATTGGCTTTTGCGATCTCCACTTTTTGCTCTCCAACGCTTACGTGCAAACACGCATAACGTGAAGGCTCGCATTCGATGACATCTGGGTGACAAATTCAAGCTTTCACTCCCATCTGGATTCAGGCGTGCCAGCATGTGAAGAATAAAACGTGACCGAGTGTCTTACAACGGAGGCACTATCAAATCTTATATGTTTGAGGCACGCCAAATTTAGTCATGCATCTTCAATGCGCATCAGAGGCGCTGAGCTTTCTCTCCAACGTGCTTGCAGAACCGACGTTTTGCGATTCCTCTGCATTAGCAAGGCGCATCAGGAGGTGCCACACCTGAGCTAGCACCAATATCTGGAGAGGCGCTGCAGTCTGGGGCGCAGACCGGCCGGGTTCCTCTATGAGCCACAGTTGCTCCCAGAGCTGTGCAGTTGCCTCAGGCAACTTGGGGCTCTGCACGCAAGACCCAACCAGACCGGCTCACCGCCCGAACGGATTTTGCCGCTGCTTGAAGATAGATTTGGCACGCGAAGGAAACGGTGCCCTCGCGGTAGTAGGCAAGCCCAAGGCATAGCCACAAGAACCATGCTGACATCTTCCAAAAATGCGTGTGAACCATGAACCTGCTTTGTGTGTCTAGCGTTTATGTGCCCATCTCAAGTTGCGCCGGAACCTGCCAGCCCATCCCTCGAGCATGGTGCGTGTCCGCACGCCTACTGGAGCCGCGCTCGCAACGAGCCATTGAAAGCGCTCCCCTCGCGAGAGTGAAACGTGTCACGCCGTCTCAGATGAAAAGCACGACTCCTACTGCGGCTGGCCAATGGCACCAGACAGCTAGTGCATCCTGCCATCACCGCTAACTACAGCCTTTGAAGGGTTAGTCCAAGGTGCGCCTCAACATCAGAGCATGACGCAACCACTGACACTAGGCCTCAATGAAACGCTCAAAACTTTAGCACTTCTCTCAATCGTTGTCTTTGCTGTGGCTGGCAGAATGGCAAACACAAGTCCAACATGTCCCACCAAAATCCAAGAGTGCATTATGCATGGGCCAGCGAGACTTGCCAACGTATCGCAAAGAAAATGTTCGCTGGCATTGCCTGGAAAGCACCCAGAAAGACTGTCCAGGGTGCACAATTGCAGTACGCTTGCACTGCGCTTGCACGGCTCCTAGTGGATCTACGCTGGAGCCGTGAGGTCCTCTGTTTCCCCGGGAAAATCTGCCAGGGGATCGTCTTCGTCGTCCTTGTGCTTATGATGTGTATGCAGCACTCTCTGTGAAGCATGGCACTTCATGCTGCCCCGAACAGCCACCGTGCCAAGGTGCGCAACTCTGGCAAGCAGTACTCTGCCGCCTCCTGTCCCTGCTCTCCTGGCCAAGGTGCGGATATGCTGCAGGCTGCGCTGACCCCTTGGCCTTCACTCACTCACCTGGCCTCCGTCTCCTTGAAGGAAAAAAAACGATTCATGTCCGCCAGCTCAGGCTGAAACGAGATTCCTGCCCGTCTGGGGGTGCATAAGCAGTCAGCATGGCGCTGCCACCGAGAAGTGAAGCAGAAACAACACTTGCAACAACCAAGTCCTCGCGGTTTGGTCCCTGCTGGTGGCGACTTGGGATCAGCATCCACTTCGGCGACGGGGCCCTCCTGGTCATGAACTAAACTAGTTTACCCCCACTGCTTTTTCTGTTCAATTGTTTTGGAGGGGTAGGGACAAAGGGGACTGCGCACAACTTACACGCTCCTCTCTACAATTCGCAAACATGCAAACTGCGCGTTGCCAAGCCCAAGCCAAGCCCAAGCCTAAAAGCAACTGCATGAATCGCAATTGTAGGCACAACCCATGAAAGCATCAGCATCATTGTGAGCGCACGCATGGAAAACCATCTGGCCCCGTTCCACATTCAAGATGGATGGCCCGGTTTTGGCAGCCGGGCTGTGGGACCATATGCCCCATCTGCCAGAACCAAAGCCAACACCAGGAGAGCAAAGCATAGCGACGCCCGCACAAACAGTAGTGCATGCGGCATGCCGGGGTGAACTGGACCGTGCCGACGCTGATGTCAACAGCAGGCCAGCACAGCACACGCGTGGGCATGATGAGGCAACAACACCGAATCGAAACAAATTGCTTTAGCACAGATCATGCAAAACAGCACAATGGCTTGCACACCGCATAAGGAATGCAGTCATGCCTATTTCCCCAGAAAGCTATAGGGGTTCTAACTTCTAATAAAGCGTGGAAAGTGATTTGCTAGATTGACGGCTAGGTGCTAGAGGGCGTGCAGTTGGGGTGCTGGCGCGGATGCCATGAGGTTGTGCTGTTGTGGAGCTGTTTGTGGTGCTTGTGACGGTGCGGGCGCATTTTTGCAAGATGGAGGGCAGGGCGCCAGCGCCTGCAGTTTTGGGGTGTTTGGGGTGTTGTTTGAGGCGCTGGTGACGGTGCGGGTGCATGTTTTGGGAGATGGATGGCCGGGTGCTAGGGTGCGGGCGCAGCTTTGCAAGATTGACCGTAGGGTGCGCTCTCTCTCTCTGCTGTTGCTCTCTCTCTCTCTCTCTCAGCCGTTGATGGTGTGCGGTTTGGGGTGCTCGTGCAGGTGCAGTTTTGGGGTGCTGTTTGGGGTGTTGTTTGAGGCGCTGGTGTCGGTGCGGGTGCATTTTTTGCGAGATGGATGGCCGGGTGCTAGGGATGGTGCAGGCGCAGCTTTGCAAGATTGACCGTAGGTTGCTCGCTCTCTCTCTCTCTCTCTGCCGTTGCGTCTATGGCGTTCAGCAGGTGCTGTTTTGGGATTCTGTTTGGGGCTGTTTGAGGTGCTGGTGACGGTGCGGGCGCATCTTTATGAGATTGGGGTGCTGTTCGGGGTGACGGCGCGGGCATTTTTGCGAGATTGACGGCAGGGTGCTAGGGGGCCTTGGGGTGCTGGTGCAAGCGCTGTCTACAGAATTCGCAAGTTAAGTCTTGATATTGGGGTGAATGCCTAAGAACCCTGTTTTGGGATCAGCGGCCGGTTTTCTGCAATCAAGGTCAGTCTTGCTAGCATTGACCAGCGGCACGCAATCAAAGTCTACCGTGGCAATTGTCAATGGGAGGGGTGTCTCTTCTTCAGTGTCAGTGAAGCAGACTTGCAGCAAAGCAAGAAGAAAGCTTTTCGGAGGTCAGCGCTGTTGGTCCTTAACCTAAGCCAAGGCTCTGCAATGAGAGTGAGAAAGCGCCGCACGTCGCTCGGAGACTCCACTCGATACCTGCTCAGTCTATGCCAAGACTCGTGAGAATGATTGACAGGTTTCATTGGCTCTTGATTCTAAGTGGGGTTGCTACATTGGCCGCTGGCTCCGGCGAACATGTCTGGTTGTCGCAAGTGCAGCGATTTCGCAATCAGCGCCTTGCCGCAGTCTCGCCAGCTCCGACTTTCACTGTCAGCGAATCCTTCGGTGCTTCCACGAACATTGACCTGCAGCTTCAGCCACGAGTCGGCAGGGTCTGTGCAACTGGAATTCCATGCTGCAAAATTCAGACTGAGGCCATAGCTCGTCTGTGCGGTCATCTCCGCAAATGAGGATTTCTGCAAAGGGCGTGGCGTGGTGCCTCAGTTAGCCGAAGGACAAATTGCGCAATAGGCCAACTGAATTGCATGGCGCTTGACCTTTGTGAGACTGCCTGTTTGGTGAAGGGGCAAAGGACGATATGCCCAGCGTGAAAGTCAGCTCTGTGGCTCGCACTGCAAGAGTCTTTCGGAGGCAACACCGAAGCCTGCCCATTCTGGCAAGTTGCTGCTGAAGCGCGCTGAGCACAACCACCCCCTTCCTCACAGATAGAGACGCCACTTCCACAATTTTGTTGCCCTGGCTGATCTGGCAGGGCAAATTGCCCAGGGAAAGTGCCAACCTGAGCTGAGGAACTCGCAAGGGAGATCTGTCCTGACCTACAAACTGACTCGAGGAACACGCTGATGTTCCGGGTTCCTTTCCTGTTCTGATGCCCACTGAAGGCCAGTGGCACTTGACATGGCCTACACAACGAGTACTTGGATCCTTGTGGGATGTGAACAGAACTGAGGACCTGATGGAGCCCGCCATGCTTGTCATTGACAAAACAAGCCACCCGCCCAGATGCTGGACTCCAACCTGCTGGCTTGATACACTTCATTACAGCCACCATCGGAAGCTGGACGGAGCAACGCTTTTACATCAGTGTGTTTGCCCTGAGCGCATCCCAAATCGAGGCACAAAATAACCAAGCGATGGGATTGAACATTTCTACGAACACACATTTACATACGCATGTATCATCTGTATAAACATCAACGCATATTACTATTTGCATACATGCTAACATGCTACTACATAAATGCATTCCATGCACAATTGCTCACGAATCCATAACATAGTATACATATACGTACACTGCAAACATGTACGATTAAAAGGGGATAGTGCAAGCGTCAAGTACCAACCTTGCGTCATGTTTCTACACCAAGCTGCTGATGCATTAGTTCCTTTGCCTTGAACTCGCCAAACTTCTCATCGCAGTCACGGTAGTGCCAAACGATTGCCGAAGCTTTCTCCTCAGTGTGGGCACCTTGGCGAATAAAGCCCTGCAAGTGCCGGGCAATGAAACAAACACACAGGTGTGGGAAGCGTCCAGGCCTGGAGTACAGCGCGTGAACATACGGAGAACAGGCAGAATCTTCTCCTAAGGCACCAGCTGGCTTGCAGCAAGTTGTCGGGTGCCGGCCCTCCCCAGTTTGCCGCGCCTTCCATTCTAGCGAGGGGTAGGGAGAGAATGACACCCATTCGCCGTCAGTGTCAGGACCCATCTTGAAGTAACCTTGGCTTGCAGTGGCGATCGGACAAAAGCCAAGGGTGAACCAATGAAAAAAACCCTGCAGCAAAATGTCGAGTGCTGAAATCTTGGGCCCATGTTCTGAAGTCTCAGAAAGTGGCCGTGCTCAGCAATCAGAGTGAGTGATTTATAGGCCCCGAAGTGCTGCTCTAGGAACTCCCTGTTGCGCCCGCTGACCTTTCTCATTGATTGGCGAGCAGCGATGACAACTGGGCATACCTCTTCGCGCTTAAGGCAGGCACTATGTAGATTCTCAGGTCTTCTCGCCTTCGAGCTTGGGCAACCACAACAACTTCAAGCAACGACTTCAACAACCTAGCACAGAATTGTGAGAGTAAGAAGGCGAGTGAGGAAGATGGGAAGAGTCAGCCGTGGTCTTGGAAACGCCTTTTTTGAGGAACTGCTAGGCAACATATGATTTAAAGCTGCAACTTCAAACAAAGGTCGGCTCTGGGGTCACATGGGGTCACCCACTTTCTTGATGACACTGGCTCATTAGATGCAGCTGGGTCTCTTATTCAAGAGCTCAAGAATGGAGTTCATCTCGACGCACGGAACAGCATCCTCTGGCCTGGCCTGCCGGAATGGGAGTCACACCCTCTGGTAAACTCGCTCATCAAGTGATGGCATGGTGCCTCGAACTCGCGCAAGGTGCCGTCGTAATCCAGGAAAATTGCCTTGACGCCCGCCCGGCTTTCCTCAGACAGCACTGCAATGGCACCAAACGTTTGGATGGACTTTGCCCCGTGCACCAATCGCAGCCACGCAGCTAAGAACCGCGTCGCCATGTGATCATCTAAATACTGCCAAGCCAACCTCGCCTCGATTTGTTGCATTGGCATGCTCAAGCATCGTGACAGGAAGTGATAACATATGCTGCCCGCCTCTCAGCCTAATACAATCATGAAAACTCCGCAATTTGACCACCAAGGCTCAGGTCTGGCAACCCTTACCCCTTTGTGGGGCTGCTCCAGCTCACTGAGCATGCTTTTCCCCCAAGCTACCTGAGCAAATGGCATCCAGCAGGGGCTGCATTCTGGCACACATTTGACATGTCTCGCATGCTGGCTTGTCCATTCTTGAATGTCTGACCTTCAGGGAATGCGTCATGAATCCCAGGCACTGCGTCATTCTCCAGAACTGACTCGCGCATGCGGTCTGTGACCTCCCACCGCTGATCCTGGGTTAATTGTGATTGTGGAAACCCGTCTCTGATGCCTCTCATGACAAGCTCAGCCCACACTTTGACGTTTCTTTCTTCTCGCTTCGGCCTTGTTTCCATCAGATATGGAGAACAGTTAGATGTATTACTGTGCCGAGAAGCGCTCAAAGCGCAAACCCGCACAAAATAAAAGTAGGTGTGATGCCATTGCGCCTCTTGAAATACAATGACCATAGCGCGATCGTCTTGTTCCTTCTCTTTCTCAATCGTCGCAGTAGTCCTTGTTCAATGTCATGAATTGCTCGGTGAGCGTCCTCCATTCTGCAGGGTTTCCCTTCCATGCAAGTGCTTTGATTTCAAGCATCTTCAGCATGTCAGTCTTCGCCAGCATCTCGAGAGCCCTAGCCATGCTTCTGGCAATGATCTTCCATGGGTTGTTGAAGACGCCACCTCCAAGTGGCATAAGGTACACCTTCCGCTTCATCCCCTTCTCTGCGGCAACTATGGCCGCATGCTTCAGCGCTCCGTAGTACTGAGCGATGAGTATCAACTCTGCTATGTCTGCCTGATATTTGGGATCGCTCAATCCTCGGTTCATGTACGAGTCTACCGGGACAGCTGACGCGTAGACCAAGCCAACATGGTGGGGGGCTTCTTCCGTTGGTGCGAGACCACGTGCAAACTCGCGCTTGCTCGGCTGCAGTCCACAGGCTGGAATGTCCTCCATCGCCAGGAGTCTCAAATTATGCAATTCCTCCGCAAGTGTCGTTTTGATTTCATCCTCGCGCGTTCCAGCATTCCCGATCTTCAGGTAGCCGTTCTGCAGCATGAGCCCACAGCCCTTCATCTTCTCCAGCAAGGTGTCCACGGCATTGATGCCCCCCGCACGGCCTGTGTGGGCAGCATTGTCCAGGACGAACTGCGCAGCTGCTGGATGGACCGCTAGCTGGCCCCGGGGCCCACCCGTGTTGTCGTACTTGTAGTCTGCAACATTTCTTACTACGGTGGAGTGAGATGGGTACTCCGCACCATTGAGCTGAGATGGCAGCACGAACAGCGCTCCATCATTCGCAGGATTCTGGATTTCTGTCATGATCTCGGACTGCACGATCTCGAGAACTGAGCTTGTCAATGAGGGATACGGCCCGGTGTCTTGAGGTAGCTCCAACTTCTCATTTCCTATGTGATCACAGTAGAAGCGACCGACCACCTTCATCTCTGTATCCCCGCCTTCCAATCGTTCCACTGACGCTTTGAGCTCCTGGCCCTCGAACTTGTACTTGCCCTCGAACTCATCCAGCCGCCAAGTCCCTTCCGTTGTGTCAATCATGCGCTGATCGCCAGCGATGTCCTCAGACTCTGTCTTGCAGCAATGTTCTGACACCGACCCCATTGGCAGGTCTTCGCTGAGCCGAATTGCCTGCGACATCGATTGAGCCCGGCCCAAATCTTCAAAGGGGTGCCATTCTCTCTCTCTCTCTTGTGCCATCGGAAAGGGGTGCCATTGTGGTTTGATGTTTGCGTCAGTTTCAGTCAGACGGCACGACGGCACAGCCAGTCCCGGAGCTTTGCCCTAATCCCCTCCTCGCTGAGGCGATTGCCGCGAGTGAGCTCCAATCCAATCTTAGGCGGGCAAGCGCTCTGGGCTGGGAGATCAATTCAAATCCAAAAGCTGAATGTGCAGTGGCAAGCTCAACCTTCCAAGCAGCTACACTAGCCTGCTAAACTCGGAAGCCGTGGGAAAGAAGAATAGTTTTCAAAATGATCGCGATAGTACCAGGGAAGGCGCAAAACGACGGGAAGTGTCCAGATAGAAAGCCAGCCGCAGCCTTTCTGTGTTGTGATGTATCCAAGCCCATGCCGAGTGTCCGCGATGGCATCTGCGACGGCATCATCGTCATATGGATTGACCACAATGGCATCAAACAACTCCTGTAGCTCAGACATGGCACAAGACACAGATATGCTTAGGGCTTACGGTATGGCTACCAGCTCCTGCGCAGCCCCTGCCAATTCCGAGAGGACGACAGCTCCTCTGCGATGCCAAACCCACGCTTCCAAGAGTGCGTTTAACGCAGGCCTGGCACCACGTTCTCTATACTGCGGTCTTTGGTGACGATGAACTCCTTGGCCTGAGGTCATCATGGCCATGTCAAGGCAGCGGGTTGCAAGAGCTTGCACATCCCAATGTACTTGCCACCAGGCGGCAACAAGGTTCATGCCGTCAATAAGCGGCGTAACTAGGCAGCAGTCAGCCCGAGCATAAAGTGCGGCAAGCTCTGGAAGCCCGACTCCGCGATGAATGTATACAATGGGCTGGTGCCTTAGGCAGGATGCAATGACCACGAAAGCATAGACGGATGTAGACAGGGGGCAAGGCAACAACTCAAGTGACAGCGGCAAAAAAACACTGCCAGCTGGCCACATCCAAGGCTGTGCAACAAAAACACATGGACCTATTGTTCCGCGGTTGCACAACTGAAAGCTGCGGGGGGAAGCCAAGGCGCGTCAGAGTAGAAAACATGCCGTTGATGGTGCTGATGCTACGGTGCACTTCCTCCTCAATCTTTTGGTACTCTTCCACATCGCGCCTGGACTTGCTTAGCGCAAAAAGCAAAAGCGCGGGTTCTTTGCGCCTGCTTGGCACTGCGATGAATACAAAGACGGTTTTGTTGTGGTCCAGGCTAGTCCTTGATCAGCTGGGGTTTGCACTTGCCAACGCCTCAACCTGAACTTACTCTTTTAATAAAGCTGCGGGGCGGAGCTCTCACGCACGCACACATAAAAGCAAACAAGCACACAGAGACAGACACAGACAGACACAAACAGAGACAGACAGAGACAGACAGAGAGAACGACCGACCAACAGACCAACAGACCAACAGACAGACAAACAAACAGACAAACAGACAGACAGACAGACAGAGGCAGGCAGGCAGGCAGGCAGGCAGGCAGGCAGGCAGGCAAGCAGGCAACCCACGCACCCACCCACGCACGCACGCAGGCACGCAGGCACGCACACTTTCTGGATTGCAAGATGTAGGCCGCACTGAAGGTTGGGCACCAACAACGTTCGCATAACTTGCTCAAGCCGGATTGAGAAAAACCGCAAGCGTTGCGATGCATCTCTTGGAGCACCAAAGCATTGAACTGACAATTTCCGATGGCATGAGCAACCGCTTTGCGCTCCCCTGCCAGGAGTGACCTCAGCCTCCATGAGCATACCCATCCACACCCGCACATACACACACACACAAACGCACACACATGCATGCACACTCTCTCACACACAGAAACACACACCAAGCGAGGTTTTTCCTTGGAGCCACAGCACTTGATGTTTCACTCGAGAATGTTTCTTTTCTGGACCCAGCACACACACACTCATACACTCACACACAAATTCTCTCACACACCCTACCCACCTGCCCGCCAGCCCATGCCCATGCCCAAGCCCATGACCACGCCCATGCCCACGCCCATGCCCACTCTGACGTGTTTTTACCCAGCCGATGCGGTCGCCTCGCCAGGCTGTGCTGAACACTCAGCTTCCCCTAAGAAGCACTTCATCACTTGCAGTTCTACGGTTGGCACCTGCATCGATATCAGCATCACGCACGAGCCTCTTCGTTTCATCCTTGTATTTGTTGACAGAAAAAGGCTGGGGCTCCCTGTTTTTCACCCTCCAAAGTTGTTTTTTAACCCTTCCTTTTTCTAACCCTCAAACCCTGCTTGGGAACCGTGCAGGAACCTTGTTTGTCTAAGCCTGTGAAATCCTTTCTTTTCAGCCCCTCACCTTGTTGTGTCACCCTCCACCTGGTTGTTTTCACTACCGACCTCAGCCAACTAAAGCCCCCTCTCCCCAACCCGGATTCAACCGTAATCCCACCCCACACCTTAAGCCAAGCCGAAGGCAACAATGAACCCACCCTAAACCCACCGTAAACACCTAAACGCCTGTCTAGCCTTTTCCAACCCTAAGACGACCAAACCAACACAAAAACGACCCTGAAACCCAATCCTAAACACTCCGTAGACCCATTCTAAACCCATTCCGAGCCACGCCGAAAACCCACACCAACCCTAGGCCAGCCACACCAACGACTCCAAACCAACCTTAAACGCCACAAGATCACCCTGCACCAACCATAGACACACCCGAATCAAATTCTAACCCGCCCTGAGATTCTACGCTAAGCTTGGCCCAACCCTAAATTCTCACTAAACAGACCAACCCTAAATTAACCCCTAGTTAAGCCGCCCTTGATCATCAAAAGCAATTTGGGTCATAGATCCGGTAGGTTTAGGTTTCATAAAATTCAAGTAGTACCAGCAGAGCCGGCGAAGCCGGTGGGCGGAAGTTTCCAAAAATATAGAAACTATAGTTCTCTTTCTCTTTCTTTTCCTCTCTCTTTTTCTCGTCTTCTTCCTTTTCATTGTTTTTTTTCTCCGTCATTCTTCCTTTCTTCCTTTCTTTCCTTCCTCCCTTCCCTTCTTTCTATCTGTCTTGTCTTTCTTTCTTTTCTTTGCTTGTCTATCTATCTTTCTCTATCTATCTATCTATCTACCTACCTACATATCTATCTATCTCTCGTGTTATCTATCTATCTGCTTATCTATCTATCTCTCTATCTATCTTCTCTTCTCTATCTATCTATATGTCTCTCTATCTCTCTATCTATATATCTACCTATCTCTCTATCGATCCATCTCTCTATCTATCCCTCTATTTACCTCTCTATTTATGTATCTATCTATCTATGTAACTATCTATTTAGTTGTCTATCTCATTATGTATCTATTTCTCTATCCATTTACCTATCTATCTATTTATCTATCTCTCTTTCTTTTTCTATCTCTCTATCCATTTATCTGTCTATCTATTTCGCGTCTCTATCTCTCTTTCTTTCTATTTATCTCTCTGTCTTTCTTTCTGTCTATCTCTTTATCTCTTTCTCTATCTCTTTCTATCTATCTATCTATCTATATGTCTATCTGTCTATCTATCTCTCTCCATCTATCTCCCGCGTATCTATCTATCTATCGATCTATTTATCTATCTGTCTATCCATCAAACAATCTATATATCTATCTGTCTCTCCATCTGTCTATTTTTCTATTTATCTATCTCTCTATCTCTCTATGTATCCCTCTATCTACCTATCTATCTCTCTCTCTCTCTATCTGTTTATCTCTCTATCTCTCTATCTATCTATCTCTGTATCTCACAATCTCGCGTGCATTTGTCCATCTCTCTATCTCTTTATCTATCTATTTATATTTCTATCTATCTATATATATCCCTATCTTTCTATCTCTCTATCTATCCATCTCTCTATCTACCTCTCTATCTATCTATCTATCTATGTAACTATCTCTCTATCTCTCTTTCTTTCTATAAACCTCTCTATCTTTTTATTTACCTGTCTATCTATCTAGTTATCTATCTATGTTTTTCTTTCCATCTATCTATCTCTCTATCTTTCTTTCTTTCAATTTATATTCATCTCTCTCTATCATTCTTTTTCTATCGATCTTTCTATCTATCTATCTCTCTATAGTTCTTTCTGTGTCTAGCTATCTCTCTATCTATTTATCTATCTATCTGTCTACCTATCTCTCCATCTATCTATCTATCTATGTATCTATCTGTCTGTCTATCTCTCTCTCTCTATCTATCTATCTATCTATCGATCTACCTACGTATCTGTCTATCTATCTATATTTGTGTCTATCTTTATCTATCTATCTATCTATCTATGTATCTACCCATCCATCTATCTATCTATCTGTCTCTCTTTGATTTGTCTATCTATCTATCTATCTATCTGTCTATCTATCTATCTACCTATATACTTCTTTATCTATCTATCTACCCATCTATCTATCTATCTATTTCTGTTTTTATCTATCTATCTATCTCTCTACCTCTCTATCTCTCTATCTATCTACTTATCTATCTATCTGTTTATCTCTCGTGTAGCTATCTCCCTCTATCTATCTATCCATCTCTCTATCTATCTATCTATCTGTTTATCTATCTAGCTATCTATCTATCTATTTTTATCTATCTATGTATCTATCTTTCCTATCTTTCTCTCTACCTATCTATCTATCTATCTCCCTACCTATCTATCTATCTATTTACTTATTTATCTATCTATCTATCTCTCTCCATCTATGTATCTATCTATCTAGCTATCTGTGTATCTATCTATCTATCTATCTATCTATCTATCTCTATTTTCTCTACCTTTCATGTATCTATCTATCCGTCTATCTCCTATCTATTTATCTCTCTACCTATCTCTCTTATCTATATTTCCATCTATCTGTCTATCTCTCTCTCTCTCTATCTATCTATCTATCTTTCTATTTATCTATCTATCTATCGATCTCTCTTTCTATCTATCTAGCTATCTATCTCTCTGTTTTCTCTATCTTTCTCTATCTATCTATCCATCTAACCGTCTATCTATCTATGCATCTATCTATCTCCCTCTGTTTACCTATCTAGTCTGTCTATCTATCTATCTATCTGTGCCGAAACTAGCGAAAGTGCTGCGCCTGCCACGAAATCGGTACTTGACCTTGTGAAAGTGCTGCGCCTGCCACGAATTTGCGAAAGTGCTGCGCCTGCCACGAAGTCTCTACTTGACCTTGTGAAAGTGCTGCGCCTGCCACGAATTTGGCGCTTGACCTTGCGAAAGTGCTGCGCCTGCCACGAATTTGGCACTTGACCTTGCGAAAGTGCTGCGCCTGCCACGAAATCTATACTTGGCCTTGCGAAAGTGCTGCGCCTGCCATGAAATCTATACTTGGCCTTGCGAAAGTGCTACGCCTGCCGCGAAATCTGCGCCTGACATTTCGAAAGTGCTGCGCCTGCCACGCAACTCAAACCTTGAGAAAAGTTGAGCTTGCGACAGTGCTGCGCCTGCCACGAAATCCGCACCCGACCTCACCAAAATGCTGCGCCTGCCACGCAATTCAAACCTGTCGAAACCTCTGCGTCGCCGCGCCAATGGGCCCGGCGCCGACCCCGCTCCGACCCCGCTCCGAGCCCGCTCCGACCAGACGCCGCGGACAGGCTAGCTTTCGCATCTCCGGAGACGCCGATTCGCGCACAGGGCCACGCTTTTTGCGACTTTCTCATCTGCGAAAATGCCGATTCACGCACAGGGCCACGCTTTTTTGCGACTTTCTCTTCCCCTGCCACACGCGCGCGCATTTTTTCTCGCGGGCTTATTCCTTCTCTTGTCATTTGTCTCAGAGAGCTAGCTTTCAATTAGTTAAGGCGCTGAAGAAGCACACAGCGTCCTCCGCCGCACGGCCGTCGATCACCTCCATCACCACCGTGCCCGGCATAGCATCTGGGATCTCTGGCATAATCATCGGGCGCAGGCCAACGGAAGCAAGCGACCACATCACTGAGAGCGGCTACCAACAACAATGTGACAATTGCCACAGCTGTCAATTGCCATCAAGCTTTCAAGCGAGCAGGGCAAGTGCAACGAGCACACACTGAGACGTGTCAGGCAAGACCAAACCCAAGCCTCCCTACACTTGTCAGCTGGCACTGTCAATTGCAAACCCAAGTGTCTCTGCACTTGAAGTCAGCTGTCAATTGGAAACTCTTGCTGAATCAGTCTCAGTCTCAAGTGTCACAATTCCTGAATCATGCTTTTTTTGT